GCGTCAGTGAATGTCTATGAATGACTGCATGCCTGAATGAGTGGATGAGTGCGCGGCTGAAGCCATTTTCTCTAGGAGTCTCACTGTCACCGAGCAAACTCCAGGTGAAGCGACAATAACAAAACCCTGTCACAGCCTAACTTACCCCCCCTCCCCCCCGTGGGCTCGCTGCCCTGCTCACAATTCCTTGTGGGTACTTTGTGCGTTCTTAGCCGCTCAGTGCCAAGCCTGGGGCTGGGTCCTGGGTTACAGTGGGGCAGGGTGGTCGGAGACCTGTCCCTGGGAGCGCCCGTTTAAACAGCCCCTCGCTGTAGCCTCGCCGTGCTCTCCTAGAGTAGCGGTGTGGGCAGCAGTGAAGGCATGGACGGACAGCCTGGATATGGGAACCTTCCAGCACTGCCACTTGAAGTCATAGTTGCTTTGAAAGCTTCTTTACAACTTCTACGTGGGGTAAAGTGAGCAAAGTAGATCCTACCCCATGGATTTGCTGTGAGGCTGAAAGAAGTTAATATGTAGCAGGTGCTTGGCACATGGTGGGGCTTGTGGGGAGGGTTGGGTGGGCAGTGCCCCTGTTGTGGTCAGCAAAGCATTCTGGGTGGTAGGAATGGGGGTACAGCAAGTGGCTGAGAGGGATCCAGGTGCTATTCCTGTGGTTCCCTCTCGTGTGAGGTCAGATCAGGGAGGGCCAGGTGCCCTGCCCCTCACGTGCTGGGATCCCTCAGCTACCACACTTGAGCTGTGTTTTACTGTCTGAGTGATGATGTGAGTCATGACTTAGGGAGCATATATCGAACGTCCAGTTCGTCAGGCCTGAGGCTCTGGGACATAGCTGCGGAGAGAGCACGCCAAGGTCCTGCCCACAGAGCCGGCAGCCTCACACAGGGATCACGGGCAATGCTCCATGATCTGTGTCCTCTGACAGTCACAGGTGTAATCCACTCCAGGGAGAACTGAGAGGGCCAGAGCTGTGTTTTAAATACAGTAGCCAGAGAAGGTGTCTGAGGGTGCCGAAGAGCCTACTTGAGATAGTACATTTGCTGGCAACAGGAGCAGCAAATACAGATGTCCAGAGGCAGGCGTGGGCCGGGCGAGGGAAGTGGAGGGAGAGGAAGGCTAGTAAGCGATGAGGCCAGAGGGAAGGTGTTGGCTCTCATAGGGCATCGCAGACCACCATAAGCCTTTGTTTTTTCCTCTGGGAGAGAAAGAATGCTGTTGGAAGGCTTAGGCAGAGAAGGAAAGTGGTCTGACTTATGTATGTAAAACATTTTCTTAGCTTCTGATGGAGAAAAGACCAGAGATGGGAGAGTGGAATGAGCCAGGTTTGTGCCAAACTGAGTCAAGAGGGGACGGTGGCTGGACCCCGGTGGAGAGAGGAGGCAGTAGGGTGGCTGCTGTAATCAACAAGATTTACTGATGATTGACATGGGCTGAGAGGAGGGTGTCAGGGCTGACTCCAGAGGGAAGACTGGGAGGGGCTCGGCTTGACACATCAGATTCTCGATGCCTGTGAGACTGCTCAGTGAGAGGCCAAGTTGGCCTCAGGGGCAAACTCAGGGCCAGGATACAAGTCTCATCGCTGTGGGTGGGAAATGGACCACTGAGTGGGTCTTGTGTCTCAGGAATGATGTGGATTCAGAGATGCTAAATATGCACTAATAATAAATCCCCCCAAACTGAGAATGGGGCTCTGGGTTGGAAGATGAGGAAGAAAGGTGTGGCTCGGAGAGGAGGAAACCCAGGAGAAGGGGGTATTCTGGAAGGCATATTTCAGGAAGGGGGATACTCAGACACCAGTGCTGTTGCTGACCAGGTGAGAGCAGAAGCTGAGAAGTGACTGTCAAATCTGATAACGTGGCAAATGAGGCCATTGGTGACTGTGACCTGAGCAATTTTTGTGGAACAAAGGGAAAAGGCCAGGTTGGATTGGATTGAGAGGAAGGGGAGAAAGGAGCAGGAGGCAATACATTGAGATAGCAACTTACAGGAGTTTTGCTATACAAGTGAGCAGTATGAGGAGAAAGTGGTCAGAGCTTTTTTTTTTTAGGTTTATTTATTTATGCATACAAGAACTGGGGTACAGGCCAGAGGTGTGGGGTGAGAGTGCGGGGAACAGAACAGGCAGACTGACTGACTGAAGTTACACTGCTGAGAGGAGCAGCCAGCAAGACAGGAGAGGTCTGCAGCGCGACACGGGTCACCTCCCTGGCCGGGGATCGAACTCGTGCCGCCGTGGCTGTGACATCTTCCTAGTGCTGTGCTTTAACCTGTTGTGCCACCCAGGAGCGCTGGTTTTTGGTTTTTTGTTTTTCTAATAGGATGGAAGGAGCTTGTTTTCATGGTAATTGTCCTGACCCAATAGAGAGGGGAATGGGTAGTGGAGGTGAGGGAAGAAGTTATGAAGGTGAGAAGCAACCTTGGGAGCAGGAGATAGACAAACCCTGGGCACAGGCGTGGAGTGGCAGGGGTTGTGCAAATCCCCCTCAGTGGCTCCCACTTTCCTAGTGAGATGGCAAGCAGTGCCTCCCCCGGTGACGTGAGGGAGGGAGATGTGGGGAGCTTGAAGATCAGGAGAAGGTGTGAGCAATCACCCAGAAGAGTGGCGAGAGAGCCCAAGGGGTCTTGGGTATGCGCTGCAGTTGCCAACAGTCAGCTGTAGCCCGTGTGGCACGTGGATGCCCACCCGGCCTGAGTGCGGGGAGCGTGGTGTGGAACCCTGTTTGTTCGCCCTCACCACAGCTGAGTTGAAAGTCGACTTAAATATTCAACCTTAAGTGTCACACAAAATGTCCTCAGAAAGTCCACATTGTGATGCAACGTTGAACGGAAAAGTCATTGTGAACAGAAGATTACCTGGGACACATCAGGTGACACATACTGTAGAAATTGCTGCACTTCTCAGAAGAAACCTCAAGCCTCCTGGAGAGGGGGTGGCGGCCCCTTCACACGTTCTAAAGGGCTCTCAGTCACCTCTGACTAGCTTTCAAGGGTTGCTTTTAAGTTCCAGCCCCAAGTAAAAATTGAAACTATGAATTTAACCGAGTGGGAATATTTCTTTATTATACCTAAAAATGAGTCTCCTGCAAAGCCTTAGAGCCCAGGTTCTGAACTTGCGCCAGAGAAATTCTGGCTAGCACCACACTGGGCCTCACAGCTGTGGCAAAGGTGACCCAGAGGGACAGGGCTGGGGCTCTGGTAGTCTTACTGAAGACAAAGTTAACCTGGATGGATGCTGTTGTTAGTTCACGAGAGAAATACTTGATGGACATTGACTCGTGTTTCTTTTCTGCTGGAAGGGCCTTTATTACATTGAGGGTCTGTCTCCCCACCAGCGGTTCCCCAGAAGGAAGAACTCAGTGTCTTGGCGCCTCCCAGGTGGGCTCCTTGTGCCCCCTCTGAAATTGGCTTGTCCTGAGACGTGCTGCCTATTGGCGAGCGGAGGGCCGTCATGCAGGACAGCAGACTTCGGGCCTACTCCTGGCAGCCAGACATACTAGAACGGAGGGCAGGCGGGGGCAGCTGTGGCAGGGCCTCTGTGGTGCTGTTCGCCCAGACCGCCCTGTCTCCTGGGCGCCAGTATCCACCCAAGTGAAAACAGACTGAGGCAGGTGTAGAGTTGCAGGGGAACAATGCAAAGCATTGTCTTTGGCTTTTTGTGCTCAGCTTCTTTCAAGTTGGAAAAAGAAAATTGGCAGAAATGCCCTTAAGTTGGGTCAAAGAGAAGGGACCTACGGGAGCTGGCTTGCCTGGCACCTTAGTGCGCCTCTCGACACTGCCGCTGCCCCCGCAGGGCCAGGTCAGGGTGGAGACGTCAGGCACACTGGCTTCCGGAGGCTGCCTCCTGGAGCTGCAACCCCGCCCAGCCTTGCACTAACAGAAAAGCACCCCACCCCTCCACAAGGCCTCGGCCTGGTACTGGGTCTGCTGTAGGACTGCAGGAGGAATGTTCCTTTGTCTCCGCGGAAGATGGCATGACCGAGGCTTTGAGGTGCTGCCCAGGCCCATCCCCACCTGTATGGGACAAGCCAGAACCTAACAGATCTGGTGGGACAATGCTCTGAACTCGAGCTTCATGTTGGAATTATCTTGGGAGGAAACAACCTAATGCCAGAGCCCTGCCCTCACAGATTCTGATGTAATTTGTTTGGGGTGCAGTCTGAGAGCCAGGAATTTGAAAATCACCCTAAGGGTTTCTCATGTAGAGGTTGCAAGCCTTGGTACTCAGAGTATGGTCTTCAGACCACAAGTTGATACTTGAACAACCCCAGGTTTGGGGGCTGTTGACGCCTCCCTTCCCGTCCCCAATGGAAAGTGTCCCTATAACTTACAGTCATCTGGGGGCTCTGCATTTGCAGATTCAACCAGTGGCTGTCCTTGGTTGGTCACATGTTGTCCAGGGTCAAGTGTCTAGGCTTCACCTCAGAGAACTTAAAAATGCAGATCCTAGGGCTCTCCCTGGTGGCACAGCGGGTTAAAGTGCAACATTATGAAGTTCTCTGAAGCCACTGCAGCACAAGTTCAATCCCCGGCCAGGGGGCTGACCCACATGGCACAGCAGACCTCTCCTGACCCACCCGCTGCTCCTCTCAGCAGTGTACTTTGTTGATCTGCCTGTTCTGCTCCCCACTGTCTCTGGTGAGTCCTCTCACCGCTCCTGCACCTCTGGCCTGTACCCCAGCTCTGTAAGCATAAATAAATAAATCTTAAAAAAAAAAAAAAATGCAGACCCCACCCAGATTTGCTGAATCAGAACCTGCACTTCAGCAAGATGTAAGAAGAGACCCTCGTGGTCTTACCACAGGCTTATGCTGGGGGCCAAGTGGGAGACACGTGTCAGAGCTCAGCCGGGATAGTCAGTGCTCAGCAAGTGGTGACTGTGATGCTGCTGGGCAGGAGGAAGCGGGTGGTGATGGGGTTCGCAAGAGTCAGCTAATTTGGGAGAGACCTGTGCAGGTGTTCTCTAGGATGTGTCTCTAACATGGTCATTTTCAATGTCATTTCAGCATTTCCAGGAGACTGGACCCCAAGGAGCCCCTGGGTAGCCAGAGAGCAGCTTCCCCAACCCCGAAGCAGGCTTCTGCTACCGCTCCGGGCCGTGAGAGCCCCCGGGAAACAAGGGCACAGGGCCCAGCAGGCCAGGAGGCTGATGGCCCCCGCAGAACGCTGCAGGTAGACAGCAGGACGCAGAGATCAGGGCGCTCCCCCTCTGTGTCTCCAGACAGAGGCAGCACCCCCACATCACCCTACTCCGTCCCCCAGATTGCTCCCCTTCCCAGCAGCACGCTGTGTCCCATATGTAAGACTTCGGACCTCACATCGACCCCCAGCCAGCCAAACTTCAACACCTGCACCCAGTGTCACAGCAAGGTCTGCAACCAGTGTGGGTTCAACCCCAACCCTCACCTCACCCAGGTAACCACCCTCTGCGCGGGCTCCCCCTACCTGCCCTCCCTGGTTCCTTCTCCTCTCTCACCAACTCTCTTCCTAGTGATTTCCCTTGGTCACCAGCATCTTTATCTCCCTGGGGGGGGGGGCTGGGGGGTTACCTGGCTCCCACATGTGGCATCAGAGAACAAGCCCTGGCCCCAGAGCTCCCAAGGGATTCCTGCACTGCCTGAAAGCTTGGGCACAGTCCCAGAGGAGAAGGTACTTTCTTGCCTGGTCCAAGTTTGACCTGGAAAAATGGAGAGGGGCACAGACAGCCTGTGGACAACTTCTCCAGGGACGCGCATTGGGAGAGGGTCATGAGCAGCCGCAGGGCCCACAGGGAGAACGTTTCCCTGGTCCTTCCCCTTCTCTCCCTGCTGTAGTGTGTCCTGGAGGAGGATGCTGGTAAGGGGAGCACGGTTTTAGGGCAGCAGGTAACTGTGTTCCAGCTGGTCTCTGAGGACTTCCTCCTCTGGATTTCAGTCCCAGCTAGCCAGAGCCTTTGGTAGGGAAGCAGTACCCATCCCCAGATAAACAAGCTTGGGGCAAAGTAGGGACCGAGGCGGGGGTGCAGAGGTTCACCATGGGAGACAGTGTCCTACACTCACCAAGAGGCCACTGCTGGCCATTTGCATGAGAATGGCCTCCTTTTTGCCCCAGAGGACCCAGGGTCCTGGCCAGGTCCTGTGGGGTGCCCAGCCAAGCCCCCGGAAGCTCTCCTTGGTGACCTGGAGGCCCAGTGTTCTAATACACTAGCAAACTGGAGCCCTGCCTTTAAAATGAACTGAATGGGTTTGCTGGCTTTCTCCCTCCCCTCTGGACTAGTCCACAGAAGCCTCTGGTTGTCCCCTAGGGCTCTGCTCTTGGGCAGGCTGGAGGATGGCCGGCTACAGGTACAGGCCTGGCCGCTTCTGGGATCATCAGCAGCAGGAGCCATTTGGACCACATGGGTGGGGGACGAGTGAGAATAATTGTTCACAGGTCGGGGTCTATTTGTGACATGAGGTGCTGTGGGTGTGGGACGTGTGGTTTGCGAGAGGTAAGTGTGAGCTTCTGAGGAAGGAGCTGCCGGTGCGGGGAGATGACTCAGTGCATTTGGAGTCGCTCCTGGAGTGTGGAGGCTTCCTGAGGAGGCGTGCACACTCGTGATTATCACATCTGTGATTAGCCACGGCCCATCCCTGCACTGATCAGTTAGGTAAGTGTTTGTCTTCAGTATTTAGAACAGTGTGATTAAGGCCAGGGAAGCTCGCCTTTGTTTTTCTGCCAGCGAGAAGCCTGAAGCACCTGGTCTCGCAGGAGCAGGGAGGCTTGGCAGGCAGGGATGAGAGATGCCCCGGTGGGGCATCCCCCCTTGTGTGAACTCGCCCCTCGGGGTCCCAGCCTCCCTGAGATGCTCACTTGAGCAGCAGCATCTGAACCCTTCCTGGTGGGGTAGGCAGAGATCAAGGGGGAGCTCCACGTGCAGCACCGTGTTCCTAGCGGACGTCCCAACCCTTGCCATACAACAGGCGCCCCCAAGCCCAGGAGCGAGCTGGGACGAGAGCCAGCCTTTGGCTGTGCCTGGAAAAACAGCAGAGTGGGAGGACCTTGGCGACACTCAGTCCATCTGTCTCACTGTGCAGGGAGGAAGCCAAGGCGCAGGGCCAGGAGGAAAAGGGCCTCAACTTACTGCAGACTCATGGTGTTTGGTGAGGAGTAGGCTTCTTGGCCAGCTATGAAGCAGTTGCCAGGCTGGACAAATGCAGTGCGTCTCCGCTGTGAGACTTCTCAGGGCCTTCAGCACCCCGAGGGGCCTCGTGGAACTCCAAGACGGGGCTGTAGGCCACAGACTTGCTTTCCCAGAACACCAGCAGCCGCTTGCATCCACCCAGATTGGGAAATGCTGATCTGGTTCGTTCTCCAGGCTCTCACTCGGTGGAGCCCCTTTTCTGCGGGGGTCCCCTCGGTTGGCTCTGAGCAGTGTTCCCATCGAGGAAAAAGAACCCTTGGCATATTTACCTGGAGGTAGCGCTGTGGCCCTTTGTTGCTTTGCTCAGAGCAGATGCGCTTCCCTGGTCGTGCTCCAAGTAACGAGAACACAAGTCCTCTGGTTTTGCTCACATAGCTGCTGGCAGACCCACCTGGTCAGGCCAGACCTCTGCTGCTGCCTCAACTTGATGTTATGTCAGCCAAGAAGGCTGTGTCTAGGATTGTGCTGGGCTGCTGCCTGGCCTGAGATTCTGGACAGTGCGAGGGGCTGGTTCCGAAGTCAGGTACGTGGGGAGAGTGGACTTTTTCAGAAAACCCAGCTCTAGCCCTCACTTCCTTTCCCTCACTTCCCTGGCAGGGTCCAGCTCAAATGGAAAGAGGCTGAGGAGGCAGGTGGGGCACTGCCAGTCCCAGCACAGATGTGCTGCAGACTCTGGCCCCCGGGGGCCCTGCTGGGGATCCTGACTCAGGGTGTGCCTGAGGCTGCTAGTGTGCTAGTGTGGTGACGCAGAGCCTCGGTGCGAAGGATTGCAGCCGGCTCCTGCATCCTGCCTCGAAGATGACGGAAGCCTCGTCAGGGCATCGGCGGGATCAGCGGGGAGGCGGGATCAGCGGGGAGGCCTGCGGCAGCCCTGGAGAGGAACAGGGGCCCCACAAGCCTCACGGGGCTTTCATGACCTCTCTGAGACCACCGCTGAAGCTGCTGTTGGATCTTTGGAAATGTGATCATGGAAAATGGAGCTTTCTTCTTGCGTTTCGCAAGGAGAGCGTCACTGGCTGTCTTGTCACTCACGTTGCAGCGCTGTGGTGCTGAATGGCTACGTCAGAACACAGGGCAACAGGAAGGGAAGGAGAGGAGCTGCTGCGCCACAGTCGCCGGACTTGGTGTTGTTTTTCTGTCACATGGCACCTGTCAGTGTCTTACTACTTTAGATGGGTCCTGCAGAAAGAGTGGGCCGAGTCTGAGCCAGGTAGAACAGGTAGTGCCGTTTGGCTAGGGCATGTCTGGCACTACTTCTTTTCCGGCAAGTGGACCCAAGCTTCTCCTGTCAGCCCCGGGGCTCTCACATGGGCTCGGCACTAGCTTCTGTGCACGCCCGGGTCAGCCAGCTCTCGAGGCTGTGATGGCTCAAGGGGCGGATGCGTGCCCATGACCTGTGCTGGCCTCTCAGTCCTGGAACACACTGAGACTGCACGCAGTTGAGGGAGCAGCTCAGAGCACTCCCTGTCTGAGGATTGGGCCACCCAGTCTTGGGAAGTCTTGCCTGTTCTGGGTCATACTGGAACAAAAGGGCTGGACCCAGAACCAAAGGCCAGGCCTCTAGTTCCCCCCCGGGACCCCCAGCCCGATTTCCATCCAAAGGCCATTGGTACTGAGACCGAGGAAAGCCTGAGGCGAATAGGGCTCTCCTGGCCACTCTCCATTTCCTTGTGGCTCACAACAGGTGAATAATTTAATTTAACCTGTTTTAAACCATGGCGAATGACTGGGGGTGTTTCCTTGTGGATTCTGAACATTTCTTACCGTCCACAAGAGACCCTCCCTGGAAGGATGCACTGGCAAAAGGCCGGAGGTGTCAGCATTTAAACCCATTCAGCACCCAGTGATGGGGGGAGGCAAGAAGATTTCCTCCCCTGCTCTCCCTGGGTGTGGGTTCTTAGTCAAGGACCTTAACCTCCTTGAATGCCAGATTTCTCTAAAGAAGCCAGTCCAGGGGCCGCTACCCCTTCCCCAGCAGGTCCTGGTGGGGAAGGTCTTCCCCTTCCTCCAGGTCTTGGTGACCCACCTCTCTTGCTCCAGTCAGACTTACTGACGGGCTTCTCCAAGGAAAGAGTGGTCCGGTCTTTCCTTGCCTGTTCCAAGGTTTGTACTTCGCAGAAACCAAACCAAGGATGTTTAGCCCACTGCGTCCCCACCCCCGCCCCACTGGCAAGCCTTGGCGTAGGCGCTCAGCCAGTGGGTGGTGTGGAGAAGGGAGGGAGACAACACAGTGGCCACAGGCCTTTTCTTCTACTGCCTGCAACCCACTCCTTTCCGGCGGCCCGGGGCACCAGATGGGCCGGGGGTGGTGCTGTGTGTAGCATGGATCCCCCCACTGCAGCTCCCAGCCTCGAGCCCTTTCCTCTGCTCCCTCCTGGCCTCACTGCTGCCTGGGCCCATAAGCAGCTGTTAGGGCCTGGGGCCGGAAGTGGCCTGAGAGGCCCTTCCTGGGCCCAGGAGAAGGTGATGTTTGCAATGTGCCCAGCCTTCCCCCCAACAAAACCAACAAAACGCAAGTCTGCAAGGGGGCAGACCCTTTGAGGCCTCCCTCCCTCCGTTCATCCAGTCAGGCGGTTTGCCTTGCCATTTGACCCAGTCTCCAAGTCAATAGAGAAATGCTCCCGAGCTCCAGTCAACCCTGGGCAGACCCTGCTGTCAGTCTCTGCTCCCAGGAGAGAGAACCGCCTTGCTTGGACCACTGTAGGGTGGAGGCCAGAGCCCCTGGGGACATGAGGGGAGCAACTGCTGGGGTGGGAGTTGTTCCATAGCTGGAGCCCCCAAGCATGAAGCTTGAATTTTTACCTATCAGCGACCACTATAAAGTTTTCTAAGAATGAATGTAAAATTCAGGACAGAAAATAGGAAATTACATTCCTAAAACACCTTTTATGTGAGGGCAAAGAGAGAGAGAGAGAGAATGAAATGCGTGTGGAGAAAAATGGCGGAGAACAGGAGAAATAAATAAAATGGATACAGGGAGAAAGAACAAGGTGGGAGGTGATGGAGAAAAACAGGCAGGAAGAGGCGGGAGCAGGGAAGTCCTGGGTTTCTGGCTGCTGCTCTGCTGGTTTTGCTGCTCCTGCCCTCTACGCCAGGCAGTCTGTTTTCCGGGTATCGCTGATGGGCTCCTCAGCCAGAGGGCAGGCCCTCTCCGGTCTTACCCTTTCCTCCCTTGCAAATGCTTCTTGGCTTCTTATGACAAGCCAGGTACTGCCCTCAGCACTGGGGGATGGAGTAGAATCGAAATAAACAT